GAAATTGTAAATATGAACGGAATGACCTAGTAATTAGGCCAACTGCTGGCGGGCCAAAACAAATGGCTTGGCGGGCCAACTTTGGCCCGCGGGCCCCACTTAGGGCACCTCTGATTTAAAATGACCTTTCCTTGTGTTGTTTGCTTTTGATGCTGGGGACACAATGAGGGAGCCTCTGTGTCTGGGACCATTTCTCCCAGTGGTAATCAATAAGAGTTTCTGGGTCTATWTACTCACCAGGTGTTCAGCCCAGCTGCTCTCAGGAGACGTACTCTAGAAGTAAACAAGCGGAGTGGAATTAGGCACAAATGTGTCACTACAAATCATGCAGTTTGGATCAAAGTTGCAAGAAGATACATTGAATGCACCAAACCTTAGGACATGTGTATTGCTATGAGAACCAGCCAAAAATTTGGAGTTTGATTTGACATAGTTAAAACAAACAAATTCTAAATAAACAAACAGGAAGTACATATTAACAAGCAAAAATGAGGAATCATCAGTGTCAAGTACACCGTATTTGTGTCTCAAGCAAAGGAAAAAAGAAAACAGACAAATATCCATTTACTGTTTATTTTGTAAATGAACACTTTTATTGCTATCTACTTAAAACTAAATTTATTTTGCTTTTAAAATGTGAAATGCTTAAGTTTAAATTAGCAAAATAATATACAACACTCTACCTCAAAAGTCTGCTTCATTATTGAACTGGACTCTACTATGATACTCAATTTTTGCAAGTCTGTACATCCTTTTTTCTATAACTAAATGTGAGGCTTTTAAATTAATAAAAAGGTTTTATTGAGAACGTTATACTTACCTTCAAACTCTTTTTGAACGGAGTTGTGGGATGTAAAATGTAGAAAAGTGAATGCACGTCCATTTTTTTTTAAACGAGACTTTGTGTGAAATCTCGCGATAACACGATGTYGTGAGTTACCGGGGTGAACGGGAGCTTCAAAAGTTGTCTGTTGTGTGGTTTCGTGCGATTCCGGTCCTATAAGCATTTTGGGAGGATGTTTTTTACACTTTTTACGCATCGTTTAAACAGGCATGCTATACAAAAACGCTTCTGAAGGATAAACGGTGTCAGGAAATGTTTTACGCCGGACRATCTTTTCACAGCGAGGTTTGTGTACAAGTTTTTACAGCAGGGAGGGAGGCAGCATTAGCTTGCCTCAGCTATCCAGCTAACACACAGTCGTAGTTTTTATCTCGTCGTTTCACAAACAACTTAAAACAGCTACTACTTCTGATGCAGTTAGACACTTTTAATGTGTTACTTAATACAATATTGACTTAATAATGAACCGTAATGATAAGCAGCCGTAGATGATAAGTTTACCTGAGCTAATATGAGTCTTTGCACTAATTTAACAAGTGTTTGGTGTTTACATATTTCATGGATTGGTTACATCAAACAAATAAAACATAGCTGTATGACGTGAGGTTAATGTTTTGTTTCCTAACAGGTGCCAGTGAAGTAATAGCAACAAGATGCCTTCTCCACAAGTTCTCGAACCAGTTCTCAAAAAGAAAGTGGATGAGTTGTTTCTCAACTGGCTGAGTAATCCCGAAACCCAGTCAACACTTAAAGAGTATCTTGATCTAATTAAAAGTGGACAGTATGTAAACTTGAGCAGTGGAGATGCCCAGGAGAAAAAGTCACTGAGCTTCAATGAGAACAACAACGTTGCCTCCCATAAGAAGCTTGCAGAGAAAAAACCTGCTCCCACTGGTACGCCTTCMACCTCCCAGTCCAGCAGCACACTGCCCACCCGCAGTAGCAGTAATGCCAGAGTGACTGGACTCAATGGCAGAGTATCCCGGAGGTCTGTCAGCTCGAAAAAGGTAAGTTATCAGTCAAATATGTATTTAATTAGGAATGTGGATAAATGTTTAATCCTACACCAATATTAAGTCTGACAGCGGATTCCAAAAGAACATTTCAAACCATACAAA